CGTCGCTCACGTCGTCCTGCGCGTTTGGCTGGTGCGCAGGTGGGTTGCTGCAAACGTCGGACTCTCTGGAGTCGTTTGGTGCTGTGCTGCTGGTGTCGTTGTGATTGTCTGGGGATGTCTCTGGATTGCGTTGTGGCGTCGGTGTCGCTGCCGTGCGTCTCCTTGGTGTTCCAATTAAGATTCGTACCATCCGTCGTTGTGTTATGCGTAATTGTTGCTTGAGAGGCTCTGTCAACGTCCACGTCTCTGATCCGCACGCCACAGTAGGGATGGCGGTGCCCCTGTATAGTCGTAGTCGGTGTCGCAGTGGATAATGCTTGCTGGTGAATTCTTGTCTGTGGCTGCTGGAACATGCCCATGCTGCTTCAATCCGGTGCTTCATGTCGGTTTCAGGTGCGTCGTGGAAAATAACGGTCTGGCCCGGGCGGGTGATGGTGCTTGATCGTGGTAGTATGACGATGTCCACTCCTGCTACTTTAGCTGCTCGGTCGCGGCGCCGAGGCTGATTGGTCAGGATCTTGATCTTGGTCGGGTGCAATTCCAGTCCATGCTGTTCTGCTGCGGTGAGGAGGTCGGACAGTATTGCTCTTAGGTTAAGCAGCGTCTGGTCTGTTAGCAAGATGTCATCTGCGAGTCGGCGCGCCCCAGTTGGACGCCTCGGTGATTCCTCTGCCAAACTGAGATCAGCGGTGCTAGGACGTGTTGGAGTAATGCATTGAATCGCATTGAGATCAGCGGATCCCCTTGCTTTGTGCCGCGTTGGAGGTCAAACTGTTTACTGGCGGTGTCGGCGCGCGCCACGGCCGCTTGGTCTTTGCACATGCGTCGTGGAAGTTCTACGTGCCCAGGCATGGCGTCTTGGTGAAGCAGAGCAGCCCGCAGGCTGTCGCGTTCGACTGCGTCAAAAGCCTTTTTGAAGCCTATGGCTGCACCATTCGGCTGCCCTTTCACGTAAAATATTGAAAATAAAGAGGTGGTCGCGCGTGCCTCGTCCGGGGCGAAGGCCCGGCTGCTCGTCGGGTCGCTGTCGTTCTCGGGCTGGTTGTAGCCTGTTGCGCAATAATCGGTTGAAGAGCTCATGCAACATCGGCACCGCGCAGACCGGGCGACAGTTCCGTAGAAACGTCAAATCGCCCGACCTGGGGACTACAGTGATGACGGTATTTTTCCAACTGGCCGGCGCGGTGGCTTCTGCCTGCGCGATGGCGCTGTGCAGCTGTGATGAGGCACACTGGAGCACTGGGCCTGCTCTTGGAAACATTCCAGCGCGGATTCCACAAACGCCGGGTGCTTCGCTGCCCTCGAGCTGCGAGATTGCTGCGGCGAGCTCCGTCGGCGTGAAAGGCGGAATCTCAAGTGGCTCGCGCGCTGCGGTTGGCGCGGGGTCAAGGCGGCGGGGAGAAGTACACAACTGAGCGTAAAAATCTGCACATGTGTCTGCTATCCCCTGCCTCGCTGTCTGCTTGCTGCCGCCGGCCGCCGCCGCTTCTGTAATTGGCGCCCTCCTCCGCCGTGTTTTGATGGGGCGGGCGTTTTTGAAGCCCTTGTGCTGCTCCAGTACAAGGGCTGATTCGCCCCTCCGGTCAGCGCGCCTCTGTCGCCCGATGCTTTGCCGTATCTCGTTGCTGATTGCTCGTCGGGCACTGCTGTTTGCAATGGGCGTTTTCTGTCGCTGCTTGATCAGGTAATCGATGGCGTCGTCGCGTTGCTGGCGCCCGGTGTCGCGGTCGGCGTTGGTCGCGGCCGCTCGCGAAGGCGCCGCTGCGGCGGCCGCTCAGTGAGTTGTGGAGGCGCACGGGCTCTCCTCGACGATGAGGTGGAGCTCCTGCAGATCTGTCGGGGTCGCCGCCCGTTGCAACAAGAGACCCAAGTGTCGTCGGCATTCGTCGAAGTCTACGCGCGCCCAATGACCGCCGCAAGTGTCGGCCCGTGACGCGGGATGCCCCGAGCAGCGCGTAGTGTCACCGTTCGGTAGAACCGCGAAGCGAATATGAAGTTCGACAGCTTTGCGGTTCGAGTGGAGATCTGCGACGTTCGTGGCCTCGGCATTAGTGCGCGCAGGACGTAGGCATCTATCTACCAGCACGTAATCGCATTGTCGCGGGTTGCCCGCGGTCGCGGTGTAAGTCATCTGTTTGCGCGGAGGTTTGCGGAAGAACGCGCTGACGAAGGCGAGCCTCTCGGTCGCGCCCCAACGTCGCGAAAGTTGCCCTCTGGAGCCCTCGTCGCCGCGCCCGCGGGTTCCGACGGGGCGAGAAGAAACGTCGTCGATGGTCGTTGTAGCACCCGTCGGCGCTGGGTCTGGGCGCGGCCGTGCACCAACCTGGGCATTCAAGCCCGCTGCGAGAATGGTCCGTACGTTGCGGGCGCGGGCCTCCTTGAGCATGGCGCCGATCCCGTCGTGCACGTTTTTTGCGCGCGTGCGTCCGAATGCCCAGCGCGTGGAAAGCATGCTGAAACTGACTGCAATCGAACGCTCCCTCTTTTAACAATCATTGTGACCAGTCTTGCGCTGCTTGCCTGAAACTCAAAGACATGACGGCCCCAGCGCTCGCGTAAGAGAATTGCTACTCCATGGCAGCGCCTGTCGCTCCCAGACCCTGCGAAGGCATGTCCTTCCACTGCAGCCCAAAGCTCTTTTGGCCGTGTCCTCCAGGTCTCGTCGTTCAGAACTGCACCCCAGTGGTAACTTTGCACGTCTCGCACTAGATCCTCGACGCGGTCGTCGGTCCCCACTGACCTCGCACTCTTATGGATTATGGCGAGGTTGGCGGCGCCGCTGGCGTCGATGGCCGGCGCCGGCGGCGCCAGGGGTGGTTCGCCAGTGATGGCGGGAAGGGGCCGCTGCGCAAGACAGCTGGGGAAGTCGCCGTCGACGTTGGCGCGCCCCGCTCGCCCGCCGCTGGAGCTGAGGCATTGCGGTCGGAATCGCAAGGACGCAACAGGAAAGTCACTCCCCGGCTTGAGGGGCCCGGCAGTCACGGACTCCCAGCAACCATGCGGCAGCCAAAACAGCCAGATGATACTGGCGTTCACTAACATACTCTCCAGGTAAGCTTGTGGAACTCAAGATCATTGAACCCTTACGGCCATCACATACATATAGAAACGAGCAGGCAGCCCCGAAGGAGCAGCGTAAACGACACCGAAAAAACGGGCGTGGTCAACGCGAGGAAGACGAGCCAAGCGAACGCCGAGGAGATCTGGTGAGGATACACGAAGCGTCTAGAGTCCTGAATAGTCCGCCTTCAAAATTGTACCATTCTTGAATATTCCTCCTGCAGAAGGGACATGCCCGACTTAAACCCAATCCCCACCCCACACCCCACGATTCGTTCGTTTCGTTCAAGAGCTTCCGAGCAGAGTAACCCCCCACGACGACGAGCACGACGACGACGGCGACGACGACGACGCTGACGAACGACGACGACGACGACGACGACGACGGCGACGACGACGACGACGACGACCACGGCAACGACGACGACGACGACGACGGCGACGCCGACGGCGACGGCGACGACGACGACGACGGCGACGGCGACCCCCTTAGAATCGTGGGTGGTGGTGGGTGGGGTTCACGGTCGCCCTCGCCCAAACTTCGTGACTTGCCATCGCTCGGACGTCCATTTCCCGTGCATGTCTCGGTTTCGTGCGTGCACATTGCTGCCAGATGATCCAGGGTGCTCCTCGATGGTCCTCGCCGAGAAAAACTACACACGTCTGACCGATGCCAACGGTAGATTTCGCGTAGAAGTGGCGTTCCCGATCGTGCGAACGGCGCGTACTTGTTTTGAGTCTCCGAGCCGCCGGGGAAAGCGGCAGCGGGACCGCGCGCGAGCGGGCGACCATTTTTTCCACTACAACGAGCTCTGCGCAGCCTCTGGCAAACGACGGCGGGACCTTTAAATTCGCTTGTCTCGCAAAGCGGGAGCCTACGCGTGAGCGGGCGAAGCATGTGTTTTCTCGCCTGCGCGCGGCGCAGGTGTCGCGTGAAAGCGATGGTGCTGTTTCGGCGCGGTGCATGCTGCAAGGTCGCCGAACTTCGAGCTCCGCGCCGCGCGAAGCGCGAGGCGCGAATGACATCGCGCCCTCGCGACGCCCCACCAGGGGAGAAGAGGAGGACGAGAAAGAACCGGAACCAAACCGCGAAGCGCGAGGCGCGACTAGCTCCGCGCCCTCGAGGGCACCCTTGGTGCATGCTGTGCGTTTGCGCTTCTCATCGGACACCTGGCCGCGCGAGAGGGGGCCAGATGGTGCTCTCGCCACAGCGCCGCACGGTGCTGGCTCGGACGCTCCACTCCTGCCCGTGCGCGGCCCCGGACGCTGTTTTCCCGCCACGTCATCGAGGTGAGACTGCGCGCAAGGGCCTTTTCCTTCGCTAGGCAGAGGGACTTCGTCACGTGATGCGAAGTTCCCCCCTCCCCACCGCATCCCCCTCCTCTTCCTCCTCTGGATCTCCCCCTCCTCATAGTCCTGCACCGATTCGTGTCACGTGACGGATCCAAGTCGCCGATTCGACGGGGGGGCAGCCCAGATGCGCCAGCACTGATTCTTATGTTCTGGGGGAGAGGGTGGGAGGAAGGACGGGGCCCGCGGGCTCGAGGAACCTGGCTACGTAACTTGACACCTGCCCCTGCTCCTGCTCCAACCCCTGCCCATGCTTCTCTTCCGCTGCGTCCACTCCTGCTATTGCTCTGGTCCGTCTCCTCGTCCCCATCCTCCTTCCCCCATTCCTCCTTCCCCCATCCTGCCCGCCCTGCTCCCCCCCCATCCCTCCAAGACGAGGAGAAGGAGGACGCGGGAGAGGGCGAGGGGGAGAAGGAGGAGGACGCTCGGCGGGATGATGAGGAAGAGGAGGAGGAAGACGAGGAGAATGATGATGAGGAGGAGGAGGACCCAACCTCTTCACTCCAATCGGCTCGTTGCAGAATCGTCCCTCCCCTCGCCCCTTCCGTCTTCTTTCCCTGCCGCCACGCTGTTAACCCTTCACTCCAATCCCCAACACAGGTGGTGGGGCACCACGCGGAGGAGGTGCGCGCAGCGCAAAAGCTAAATGTCGCCATTCTTGAACCCCATCGACTTCGAAAGGTCCAGGTAGGAGCCCCTGCCCACAGCGAGTATCGGCGCATCGAGGGGGAAGACATTCCTAGAAAGGGGGATGGCTCGCGATGCTCACTCTTGGGTAGAGAAGAAGGGGGAAAGGAACGAGAGGCGAGGCTGGCTTGACAAGAGCTGTGACAGGGTGCTGTTGAGACATATCCTATCAGCTGCTCCTCCTCTGTCTCAGCTTCAACATCATCTTCACCTCCCCACCGAGTCTGAGCGGTTATATACAGCAGGCAGACAACGCACAGCCCAGCAGCGTCTTCGACTTGGATAAGGAGTTGCAAGATCGCAGTGCGACTCGGCAGAGCGCTACACGAAAGGAGGCGACCATCGGAGGTTGGGCGGTGAGATCGAAGTAGAACGGAGAAGCCCCCACCATGAAGTCGGTTTCGGGTTCGAGCTCGTGTCGCGCGTGAGAACGAGGCAAAGCTGCGTGGGCGGGCGAGAGGAATGACCCCGCCGTGGCCAGGGCGGGGCAAGACGAAAGACCACCCGTCCAGTGGGCCGGCGTGGTCAGGAGTGTCCCGCCGTGGTGTCCCGCCGTGTCCCGTCGGTGTCGCGTCGGTGTCCCGTCGGTGTCCGCGGCGGTGGCTGGGGGTGTCCCGTCGTTGCTCCGTCGGTGTCCCGTCGGTGTCCCGTCGGTGTCCCGTGGGTGCCCCGTCGGTGTCTCGTTGGTGTCCTGTCGGTGTCCGGTGAGATCGATTGCGAGATCGAGTGAGATCGGTAGGGTGAGATCTATAACATGAGATCGATAGTCTTAGATCATTAAATGGGATCGAGCGAGATCGATCGTGAGATCGATAGTGAGGTCGATCGTGGGACCGGTAGTGAGATCGATAATAAGATCGGTGGTGAGATCCATCGAGTGAGGCGTTGCAACCTCCTTCTCGCCCAAAGTGTGGTCGTATTGGTATCATAGTATCCTACAGGGAAACAGGGTCACATGGACATGAGCGTGAGAGCCAGTCAGGCACCCTTCCCCTCCTTGCGAAAGTAACACGGCCAGCGTCCATGACCTGCTGTCCAGTTTGCCGGACCGGATCAACACCAGGATAGGTGTTCAGATTTGTAATTTCCTGCGCGGCGCTCATCCAATTCCTCATGCATCCCGCCGTCTCCAGCATTATTTCACTCACTCGCGTAGCCATTCATCCTACCACCTGTGCATCCTAAATGTAGCTGCCTATTGCTTACCGCCTCAGCTGCGTTCTGACACTTGAAGGTCTTGGCACGACCTGGGGCTGCAAACCGGTGCGGATGGGAACGAAGCACATATTGCACGCAGCTCACTTCCTAGCGTCCTCGTACTTGGTGGAACCGTAGCTCTCACATAGAGGTGATAGAGTTACACTCGTGCTTGCAGCGCTTGCAGGCCAGACTTTGGAACCTGGACCAGCGTCCTGAAAAAATGGAGGGGAGGTTGGGCAAAAACGAAGATGTAGGATTTCGCACGGCGCGATCCCGGTATACCTCCAGGAATCCCCGCCTGGGCTCGTCGTCTGACTGCTGTAAGGGGGAGGCGCCGTGACGATTTTGCAGGCACCCGGCTCTGTCGTAGTAGGGCTTCATGTAAATGGCGTAGTTCATGGCGCCCAGGATCACGCCCAGGACCCAGGCGACCAAGAGAGACAGAAACACGAAGATGTACCGAGTGGCGGTTCTTTACTGGCAGGAACGGCTGCAGGCGTCAACGCGTCGGCCACGTCAGCCAGGCATGTTGCAAGCTGGCGGGAGCTGCAGCGATGTGTCCCGAAGAGACAGGGGGTGCCCAAGCTGAGCGCTGCTTTTGCCGCCCACCAACCAACACTGGCCCAAGGGGCCACGGGCAGGCTTGATCCTGGAAGGGGGGTAACTTGGACCAGAGCGCACATGTCTAGTCCTCGCGCGGGAGGGCGGCCCTGGGGGGTCTGTGGACCTCAGTGGGACGAGGTCGGGGCGAAGGATGGCCCCAACATGTCGTCCCTCATGTGCGAGCTTCAATGGGCGTCTCGAGCCCGAGGTGGCCTCAAGAGGGCGACAAAAGAACCTCAAGAGGGCACCGAACCCTTCCCAGAGGGCCCCAAGAGAGCTGCAAGAGAGCCCCCCAAAGGGCGCAATAACTACCTTTCACTTGGGGTCAATGGGAGGCGGGCACGAAATTGCCCCAGGACAGCCCCAAGAGGCCCCTAAAATGACCCGAAGGTGACTTGAGATGGCCCAAGACAGCTCCCAAATAACACCCACGAGGGCTCGAGAAGCTCCTGAAAGGCCCGAGGAATGCCCCTAATAACATCCCAAGATGCCCAGAAGCTCTTCAAGATGGCAGGAACCGTTGAACTGAACACGTGGTGTGTAATACTTGTTGTGGCCTTCTTGCCTCCGCGGGCGCCAACTGGCGTCTCCGAGGTGGTGCAAGAGGGCCGCAAAAGAGCCCTCAGAGGACTCCGAGAGCCCCCAAGAGAGCCCCAAGATGGCTGCAAGAGAGCCTACGCTTGTGGATGTCATGGCAATGGACACTCTAACCGCTCTACCATTGGATTAAAACCATCTTTGAAGTTTCTTCGACATGTCTTACAACATGGGCGAAAACGGTTACAAGTATGCTTCAACACTCTAAAGACATGTTTGACATATGTGTTCGACATCTGGAAATGATTTGGAAGCATGCCTTTTCTCCACTGACTTCCTTCCACAAGCCTGCGCACAGAGTGTCCAAGAGCAGCCGGCCGACAGCGGAGGCCAGCAAGGGGGCAGGCTCCCACATTGCTCCGAGACAGCCCCACGATGACGCCAAGATGGCCCAAGATGGCTCAAAACAACCCCAAAGAAGCCAGGCGCCTGAAAGGCCTCTGATAGCCCCAGAGACATCCCAGAGCCCCTCAAGATTGACAAGGCCATGAGAAAAAAAAGAAGCGTTGGTTCCATGACTGTGTTCCTGACCCTTCCCGCTCCAATCTGCGTCTCGGCCCCCGTGGTGGCCCCGAGCGAGCCCAAAAAGAGCCCTAAGAGGGCCCCAAGATTCGGGGAGGTGTAAGACTCGGGTTCGGGGGACTCGGGTTCGCCTGACGGGGCCACCAAGTGAAATGACGAGACCCAATATGAAATTTGACGCGAGCTCCCGCTGCAGACATCCCACGAAAATTGTACTGTCAAAATCCTGGACGCGCTCGTCAGAAAGCGCCAGCAAGCCAGAGTTCCGGTGTACTCGAGTCCCACACGTCGGTCATAAGAAGTAGATAAAAACATGAAGTAGTAAGGCGAATCAATTAAGTTGGGTTCAGGCCCTCCCAGATAATGACCTAACACAGCAAAAGCAAGGCGTTCCTGAAAGTAGGAAGGCGCCAGAAGTACGTTGTGATCTGAGAATCCAAAAGTACCTGCTTTCAAAGACCGACGGGCACGTCTCCCCGACCCAAGCGGGACCAACAAGAACCCCGAGAGGGCCCAGGATGCCCCACGAGGGCTCCGACGAGTGCCCTGGAAGAGAGGAGGGCCCTTCAAAGAGCGGTCCACACCAGCGGGAGGCAGGCTCCAGGGTGGCCCGAAGATTTTGTTCCAGAAGGCCCCATGATGACCCCAAGTTTCGGCGGCGAGCCTGGCATGGGAGTGAGAAGGGGCGGGCCTTCTCAGTCGAGGATCTACTGACCGGGGTCTCAGAAGAGGACAAGGCACCCATACTTCTGTCCCACGCCCGTTTTCCCCTTTTTGGGCCTCCTGGGAAACCCTCGTCGCCACCGCTGGATTCGCCTCGAACTCCTGGTCAGATTGCACCCCGGGAGAGGGCCGGGGAGTAGCGGTATCGGTACCTGTTGGCTTCTCTAGTCGGGCGTTGGCAGAACTGGGTTTAGTGGGACCTGGTGTAATGATTTGTACTCGGGGACGCCCCCCCCCCGCCCCGTTCCACTAACCGGAACTGCCGTCGCCCGAAAAAACACCAGCTACGGCAGACCTCGTTTAGTGATTCTGTCAAATTTAAAGGCTCCAGGGCCCAACCACTAACCGGGTTCCCTTATCTGGGGTCCTGGCTATACCCGACCTAGGGCCAAGCCAGGCCCGGGTCCGTTAGGGGCGTCGCAGGAGCCCGGGCAGGCTCCTGCGCGCCCCCAGGCCGGGGCCAGCGCAGCTCTGGCGCTGCAGGCTCCCGCAAAAGAACAGCTGGCGCCCTGGCTGCCCCTCGTCTGCGGTGACCCCCGTCTCCTGAGCCTCGACCCACAGGTTCGGAGGGAGCCCGAGGGTGATGACGGGCCCATTATCCACCACCATCACTACCATAGGTAGGGAAGGAGGGAAGAGGAGGAGGAGGAGGAGGAGGAGGAGGAGGAGGAGGAGGAGGAGGAGGAGGAGAAGGACCTCCTGATCTTCCCTTCTCCCCCGTCCTACATGTAGTAGTGGTGGTGGAAGTCCCCCATCAGGGGAAGTGAGAAGGGGCGAGACTTCTCAGAAGGCTCGGAAGTCCCCCGGCCCTCCGAGAAGTTCTGTAAGCCTTCCCGGAAGACACAAAAAACCTCCCAGCAGGCAGCCGGGGTCGTTTGAGAAGTCCCGCCGCCTTCTGAGAAGGCCTTCTCTTTCTCGGTTTCCTCCCCCTCGCTCGCCGCCGATCATGATGACACCAAAAGTGGCCCAGGGTTGTCCAAGACAGCCCCCAAGCAACCTCCAGGCAACCCAAAATTGTCCAAGACTGCCCCTAGGAGGCCCCAAGAAGCCCCCGAGAGGAGCCAGAATACTCCCACGAGGCCCCCAAGAATCCACCAAGATGCCCTGACAGACAACGAAGGGAACCAACATGTGCATGATCGTGCTTCCGAGTTTCGATTGTGATACTTGGGTGGGGGCGTGTTCGGGTGAGTGCTGCACTCAAAATAATGAACGTTTTCTTATTCGGCGTTTTGACATTCGACGGAAGGGGTGGGTAGGGGGGGGTCTGGCTTCGGACCTCTGCTTAGCGCGACTGTTTGCAACCGTGCTTCCCATGGGGAGACTCCACCTGCTTGACGCAGGCGCCGAAAACAGCCAAGATCTACTCCATGGGGAGGGGAGGGGAGGAGGTACGAGGGCCCGCGCCGATCGGCAGAACAGGGAATCAGGAAACGGTCACATGCCAAAGCTCTGCTCCTCCGCCACGCGAGCCAACCCATGGCCTCGAGCACGCAGGCAACTGGCAAGGACGAAAGAATCTCCTGGACGGCTGCACGCGCGAAGCGCGGTGGAACTCTCGCGGGCCCCCGCATGCGGGGCCGCCGAGAGCGGGAGCAGTGCGGGGAGTTCGCCGTGCGGAGCTCTGAGAGCTGCTGGCAGAATGGGTTGCCTCCCCACGGAAGCGATCACATCAGCACGGTGCAGAGCTCGCGCGCGCGCCGATCGCACCACGAGCCACACGAGAGGAGGAGAGGAGCGGGAGGAGCACGGAGGGCAGAGAAGCGGGGGGAAGAGGAGCGGGAGACGAGGAGCGGGAGAAGAGGAGCGGGAGAAGCTGATGGTGGAATGGTCAGGAAATGACGGAGGGTGGTGAAACTGCATACGCGATGCACGTGTGGGAGCGGCTCCGCGCACTCCACTGGGCGTGTCCCCTGGCACGCACACACGAACACACACGAACACACACACACACACACGAACACACACGAACACACACACACACACAGATAAGGAAACCTGGGCACGCAGTGAAGTCGTGCACTCCGATTCTCTGGGGAGCCGCCGTTGGGCACGCCCCACCTGCAGTTCAGGCATCATGGGTCTCCAGCTAGCAGCAGGGGATATGTCGACCTCTATCCCAGGCTCTGGGGAGTTCTCGAATGGGCCAGGAAGTTGGGGCCCAACCCTTGTATGCACGATGGGGGGGGGGCGTTCGTCCTCGATAGGGGTGCGTCCGAATGGCCCCCATTGGGGTGCATCCCAGGGTGTCCCTCCTGCTCTGAGCGGCTTCATGTTTGCGTCGAACAGTCAGGGGCTGGGGAAGAAAAAACGCCTGCGAGTCATGGATCTCCACTTGCGCCCAGCTGGCCCTCAAGACGGCCCAAGGCAGCCTCAACGGGGGGCACACCTCGCGCGCTCTTGAGACCCGTGAGGACCCCCAAAGGCCCTCCGCAGGCCCTCCGCCCGGCTGGGGGGAGAGCCTCATTTCGGAGCACCCCTCGCGCACGCCATGGCCTACGGACCCCAGGGGCTCCCGCTGGCCCCCAAGATGGCGAGCGAGGGGGGGAAGTGAGAAGGAGAAGGCCTTTTCAGAAGGCGGCGGGATTCCTCAGAAGCCCTCGCGCCTTCTGAGCAGCTTTCTCTGTCTTCGGGGAAGGCTCGGGGAACTTCTCTCACGAGAGGCCCGACCGCGCCAAAAGAAGGCCGCATGAGGCTCCGAGATGGCATCGAGGAGGCCCAATCGAGAAACTACACATTGTGGCGGTTGGCACCTTCACTGCAAGACGCCCCCCGCAGTCCCTGAGGGACGCCAAGACGCCCCCCCCCCTGGGGAAGCCAAGATGGCCCTGAGAGAGCGCTTGCGGCGCAGTGTACCGAGCACCGTCGAAGCCGCCCCCCCCTGAACACACGCTGACTGCTAAGATGTACGTGCGCGCTTCCCCCTGGGGGGGCCGCCAGGACTCTCCCCATCCCGCCCTGCGGGCTCCCGTCTCTGCATAAGATCCGAAGTTGCGAAAAAAAAAACTGCAACATCGAGCAAACCCG